TTTTTTTTTTTTTTTGTGACATGTACCAAAGAATAACAACCGAGAAAAAGATCCACAATTCACAGTTTTTTATTAAAATAAATTGTTTTGACATGATTACAAAATAGTTTACAATCTTATCAAATTACAAAAAAATGACAAAATTACGGAATTATTACGGTAATTGAGTAAACTTATAATCAAACCTTTTTGGAATGTTTTAATGAGAAGGAACATATTTGGGGACTGATTTCACTTGGTGACATATTGTACATAATTATCTCGTGAGATTTACAAAAAAAGAAATTAGAAGAATACTTATAATACATATTTAGTACTTGATATATATAAGATATGATACACACATAACATTACATTACCTGTATTTAATATTAAAAATAGGAATAATAATAATAATAGTAATAATAATAATATAATATTTATCTTTTCTAGACATTTAACTAATAATAATAAGGTAATTAATAAATCACAAGGTAATTAACCGTACAATCTTTTTTTTTTTACTTTATTTAATCTAATGATAAACCTTTGTGTTTGTTCGTTTGTTCAAATAAATGACTTGACCTCGTGATCATACTATGTATTTTCGAATCAGGTAACAAGGTTACCTTGAGCTATTTAATCTTGTTTAAGTAACATACATACATATATATACAGTACATACATATGCACCCCAAAAAGGTCCGAAATTTCCAAATAATATTTAAACAAGTGAACCCCAAATAAATAATAATAATAATAATAAGTTATAAATAATAATTAATAATAATGATTACCATATATATTAAAAAATTGGGGAGAAAGAAAGAAGGATAAAAAGGATAAAAAGGATAAAAAGGGTAAAAAGGGTAATAAAATAAAAAAATACAATAAATAAACAGATCAGGTTTAAACTTAAAATAAATGTAGTAGGATCTACTTTTATTATTCTTTTGTTTTTAATACTATTGTAAAAACAATAAAGCTAAATTCGTGAAAATAAATAAAATTTATACAAAGAAAATTACGCAGTGAGCGGTGAAAACCGGGTTTATGTTGATATTGACAATTTAAATAAATAGAATTTCCTTCTTGTGTTATATTTGTTAAATGATGAGTAAAATTATCCGCGATGATCTTGCAACTTATTAAAAAGTCATTGTTATTACATAATAAATAGGATCACGTTCATACATTTTCGTTTTTACTTTGTTTTCCATAAATTTTTTTTTTTTTATTATATATAAAAATTTTTTATAATATATATAATGTAACGTAAACTTAAAAATGAAAAAAAAAAAAAATTTTTTTTTTTTATACAATAAAAGATTTATATATACTATATATAAATAATATTATTAATTGTTTTCGAGTTAAAAAAAAATTATAATTTTTTTTTATATCAATTGACATCAAAACATGAAACTTCTATTGCATGTAACAGAAAGAGAATACTAAATTTGGAGTACTTTTTATTTAATATGATAAAATTCGAAAAAAGGATTTTAAATAATCAATCATTTCTTAAAATAAATACAAATATTAATTATAATAATTATGATGACGAACATTTACTTTTTTAATTGTTTCAAAAAATCACAACCTTTTGTTACTTTATTGTCAAAATTTTTTTATACTCATTTATTATCAAAAAAATAGGACCAAAATTTAAAATAAAATAATATATATTAAATATTTAATGTGTATATATATACAGTACGTGTATCTATTGTGTTCATTTTGTTTATTATGAGAATATATTGTAAAAAAAATACAGTTTATACCGGTAAAATAATTATGATCTTAGTTCCGAGATTCGTTGTTTAAAATAACATAGTCACGTTTTTGTTATCCATTTCACATCTTTCCCCCAAAAATCGATTTGCGATCTACTTTATTGTCTTTATTGTATAAAGGGAAAAATTTTTTAAAAATAATGATTTAAATAAATAATAAATAAATAAATAAATAAATATTTTTTTTTTTTTTATACAGTATATATTTTTACTAAATAATCAGAATGTTGCAATATACCTTATCTTTCCTTATCAAGTCAGCAATAAGTTCAGATACCAACAATCCATATCCCAAATATTCATTCAATCAGTTATGTTAATAATATGTTACAATAATAAAAATAAATGGTTAAAAAAGTGAATTTTTTTATATAAATAACCCCCTCTTTGCCAAAATATTTTTTAACAACGAAAAAAAAATTTTCTTTTTTTTCTGCTTTGACGAATTTTTTTATTCCATATTTTTTTTTTTTCTCGTCTTGAAAAAAAAACAATTTTTACAATGAATCAATCTCATATATCCAATTTTACCGAAACTATTGAACGTACTCCTTCATTTTACGCTAGTCTTATTATTCGAAGGCGGAATGATCGTCGAGAAAGACATAAAATTAAAATTGATACGACTCGTGTTGGGAGATTACCATTACAAAATACGAACAATCAATCCGTAAATCAATTTTTTAACGGATATTCTTTCCCTTAAATCAGAGCGATGATTTATGCGATGACTTACAGTAGTGGCGGAAAATAATTGGAATTTATATTGCTTATTAAATTATAATTTTAGTTATGCTATGTTGAAATATTGGTTTATTACACCAAGACATTATGCGTTAAATAAGTTAATAAATGGACAATATTATCTTTCACAATAATTTGATTAACATAAGTTTATATCAGTAAGTTTAATGATTTTATGAAAAATAGATAGAAAAAACAAAATAGTTGAATTATCAAATAATAATCCATTTTCTCATTCTGCAGTTAATGTACATTTTAATCATTTTATTATTTTAGTCTTAGTTCAGTTTGACATTTAGTTTTAACCAATTAAATTATCAATGTACTAAATTGATCCGCACAGGATTTCATATCAGGGGTTGATTAAAAAAATTTTATTTTTGACAAAAAAAAAACTAAACGTCCAACATATTATAGTCAATATTTTATATTTTATTTATCTTTTCTATTCCTACTTCTTTTTTTTTTTGGTTATTTTTTTAAAAACTTTTTTCTTTTGTAATTTCTTATCTATTATAATTTTAAAGACAAACATATAAGAAACTTTAAATTACTTTGTTTTTATACTCTTAGACTAGGTTATAGTACCATTCAACCATTCTATAATCTGAATACCCATCAAAGTCATTTAACAAGTGGAAGTCTGCGAACTATATGAGCTTAGTGAATCTTGACATTGACGTGCACTCTGTCTTTATGGTTCCAAAATCTAAAAATAGATTTGGAAATGATCGGCATACTACGTTAACCGATTTTAAATTAGCTGCAGTAGCTGCAGTAATGTTATAGATTTGATTGGATTAATCGGATTTTATAGCTATTTGCGAAATAACGGACCAGTCGGACCACCTAATTCATTTTTCGACTGCGTATGAAATTTTCATACGCAGTCAACGCATAGTAATAACAATCTAATCCATTTAAATTTATAAAATATGAAAGTAATATCTGCCCGGACCGTCAAACTCATTTTTTGAATTTTTCATATGCAGTCATCCGCAGTTATCAGCAGCGTGTATGACTGCGTATGAAAATTTCATACGCGAATTAGGTGGTCCGTTATTTTTGCAAATAGCTGTAATATTCCGGAACTTTTTTTTTATACTTTAGGGTCTTCTTTCTTTTAGGAACGGCCTTCTTGGGCTGGATTTCGGCCTTGGACTTTAAAATAGTTAGTGAATTACTTTTTTTTGTTTTTTTTTACTCTAGGAACGATATTATTTACGTTCTTTTTCTTCTTCCTCTTTAGGGACGACCTTCTTAGACTGGATTTTAGCCTTGGACTTTGAGATGGCGAGTAAATTCTTTTTTTTTTTTCTCTCTAACATTCCTTTTCTTCTTTCTTTTTAGGAATGATCTTGAAGAAAATTAACTTTAAGAAACATTATTGACGTTTCTTTTATACTGCAGCAACAATTTTATTTCATACTTGAATTATTTATAATCATTTTAAAAGTTTTATAAATTTTTATTTTTATTTTTTATTTTTTAAATTATAATTATTTTGGTTTTTGCATAATACTTATCTTTGTAAGGTTCATCAACATATTGTCGAATTTTTGAATATAAGTAATTTTGTCGTTCTTCTGCTGTTAATGATGTAGTATAATTAAATCGGGTTTACCATTTTTATTAAAATTATCACTTTTTAATAATTTATAACATGATTCTACATCACCGGATTCTGTTGATACTTCAGAGCGAAGATGATGGTATTGTGTTATACAAAATGATTCTTAAAAAATGCACCAAAATCGCACCAATTCCAATTTATTCCGTTGCTATATAAAATTGCTTCATAGCATACATGTGCAATAGTTAAATCACCCTTACTTTATCAATAATGCTGAGTTGCTGACGTTCAAGTTTTGCTAATTTTTGATTATTCTCATATTGAATTTGCAAATCGTGATATCATAATAAGTTTTTTATAACTTTTTTAATGTCTTTGTTATGGGCTTATGGCTATATTTTATATGTTCAATATCGCTACCACGATAATAACAAATATATTCCTTTAACAAATGTGGACAATGTGGACAATGTAGTTTTTTAAAAAAAAATATTATTATGCATTATCAAGACTTAATTATTTTAATATTACAGTCAACTCAACTCTGGATATAACGAACCCTCTGTTCCAGGAGGCATATAGTGAATTCGTTAACTAGTTTTCTTTATAGGTAATTTAGATCAAATTTGTAATTCTGGCCAGAATTATAATTTCTTTTAACATAAATTTTCGAGTAATTCTGGCCAGCACTATAAAATTGGCCTGGACTACTATATAGTCACATGACCGTTCGTTATAGAAAGTATAAACTAAGTTATTACATAGCTGGCTAGTTAAGATACGTTATATAGTGTTTTATTATAAAAGTTTGTTATATCCAGTGAAATTATTTATAAAAAATCGGTTCTAGAAATTATGATTCGGTATAACGAGGTTTTGGTAGTGGTTTTGGTACAAACATGGTTCGTTACTATAACCAGAGTTGACTGTATATGTACTATTGTTATGATAAATATGTAAATACTTGTAAATACTGTAAATTGAGGTTATGTATGTAAAACAGTGTATATTATGAATAGACCAATTTTGTAATTACAGTTTTTTTTTTACATAAATGAAATGCTGTAAATAAATATTAGAAAATCATAGAAAAAGATACTTTCCAAATTATGAAAAACCATCATGGAAAATTGGAAACCTTAATTAGGATAATGTTTGAACAATGGAAAAAATGATTTTAATGATACATTCAACCAATTTACATTGACTACCTTGTTATAATAAATTTTATTAAGACTTTAGTTTCATTTGTTATATTTTATTCACTATTTTATAAATTAAAAAAAAAATACAACTTAATAAACTACTAGCTATTGATTTTTTTGAAGTATTTGTAATCTATTTAATCTATTTTGTGCATCCGGATCTCCTTGATTGGCAGATTTTTTATACCAATAAATCGCTCTATCTATATCTTTAGTAATTCCGTCTCCATATTCATACATATTACCAAGATTATATTGTGCTACTTTATTTTCTAAATTTGCTGATTTCTGATATAATTCAAATGCTTTTTGTTTATCAATGTCAGTTCCAATACCATTATTATAACAGTATCCTAACATCATTATTCCAACCGAATATCCTCCTTTAGCTGATTGATTAAACAATTCAAAAGCTTTATTATAATTTTTTTTAACACCTATTCCATCTTTATAACAAGTACCTAAATCATGTATAGCTATGATATTTCCATTATTTGTAGCTTTTTGATACCAATAAATACCCCTTTTTAAATCCTTTTTAATACCTATTCCATCTATATAAAAATAACCAATTTTAAATTGTCCAAATGTGAAATTTTTTACTTTTTCAAAATATTCAAAAGCTAATTTATCATTCTTTATAGTACCATATCCATATTGATAACAATAACCAACAAAATATTGTGCTAATGTATGATATTTTTCTGATGCATTAATAAATAAATTAAATGCTTTCTTATAATTTTCAATTCTAAAAAGGTTAAAATAACCAAGTAAAAAAATAGAAATTGGATTATTTTGATTATTTGATAACCAATTATAAATTTCTTGTGAACTTATATTACAATTACCAAGATATTCAATAACTTGTTCATTTAATAATTTCCATTCAATTCCTTTATTTAATAATTTAAAAATTAATTTATTTATTTCATTAATTATTCCATTAAAATCTTTTTCAAATAAAAGATTCTCTTGTTCATTTGACTCTGCTATAGTATCAATTTCTTCTGTATTCATTTCATTAAAATTTTGTATAAGTTTAGACATCTTTCCTTGTGGTTCTGTATTATTATTAAATAATTCTCCTCGTGATTCTGTATTATTAGATAACTCTCCTTGTAATTGTGTATTATCGATATTTAGAGGAGCATTATTAAGCTCTTGCCCATTTGAAAATTGATGATTTTCAATCATTACATCTGTTTTTGCATTTAAACATTCAACTACTTGGTATATGGTTGGACGATTATCTGGCTCCCTATCCCAACATTCTAAAAATAAATGTAATTTAAGATTAATTAAAATAATATTTTATATTAAAATTTCAAATTTAAAGTACTACTCACTGGTATAAATTTTAACATATTCTTCAGGTGTACCAGGAACAACAGTTTCTCTATGACCTTGTGAAATTTCCAAAATTAAATCAACATTATATTGTTCACCTTCAACATAAAAAGGAGGTTTTCCACTAGATATTTCCCATAATAATACGCCAATACTGTAAATATCACTTTTTTCATTTAATGAGTAAATTTGTGTTGTTTGGCCATTACTACTACTTCTTCGTCTGTTAAAAAATTTTGGATCAACATAAGGAACCACTCCGAATAATTGGGATTGAGAATTTGATGACATCCCGATTCTTTTTGATAATCCAAAATCCGCCAATTTGATTGTTTTTTGATGAACTAATATATTACCAGAATGCTATTAAAAATTTATGTTTTAAAATTAGCAATGAAAGTATAATACTGTCAACAATTGACTGAAGAAGACAGATAAATTACCAAGTCACGATGAATAATTCCTTCATCATGTAAGCATGATACAGCGCAAGCTAATTGATTCGCCATATTATATTTATCATCCCATGTAAGTTTATCAAAGTTTATTTTCAAATAGCTTTGAAGATTACCACTATTAGCATATTCCATTACTAACATGTAATTATTATTAATATGATATTCTACTAAGGAACCAAAGAAAACAATTACTAAAATGCATTTCTACGAATAAAATTTAGAATATTAATTAAAATATTGTTATAATACCTGTTGATTCAAATTTTGTTATTCCATGGCAACAAATAATATTATCGTGATAATCGACATTACGGTGAATTTTTAACTATATAAATTAAAATTTTATTTTAATAAATAAATAAAATATAAGATGCTTTTATTCAAAATTACCTCATGAACAATTTCTTTTACGGTGACATTGTTAAGACTAGAAAAAGATTTTAACGCAAAACATTTTTTTGAATTTTTCCAATTTGCGCAGTACACTTTTCCAGAACTTCCAGTACCAATTTCTTGAAATTTATTAAATTCTTTATATTCATAATATTTTATATGTTCTTTATCAATAGCTTCTTCAATCCAATTAATCCATTCATTTTTATTCTCAATATTATCCATTTTGATATTATCAGTCATATTGAATAATGAACAATTTAAAAGAGAATTATTAAAACAATAGGATTGAGCGGTCATTATTTAAAGTATTTATGCAATTTATTTCCTATAGTCACACAATTCTCAGCCTAGGCGATATTGCATAATTTTACATATTGCTTTGTAAAATTGCCCAATCCGGAGAAAATTTTGGGGCTGCTATGACTGATAATATTAATTCGGAGATTACATTTAAAACAATTTTTTAGTTCAATATAGTTGTGTTCATGGTTTACTCTCCATTATGACATAGAAATGATTCCAATACATTTATTTATCTACCTACTGATAGAACATATACTTTTGTTTATAAATAATACAAGGATTATTATTATACTGAACATGATGAATCAAACCAAATAATTTCTTATTATACTTTTCAGAGACTTTGGATTGAAATGATTCCATATCTTAAGTTTCAAGCACCAGCAAGTGATCTTTGTGAAATTTGCGAAGGATTTAAGGCTAAAATGAAAGTAGCAAAGTCTGACGCAGATGAACATGAAAAAGTTCAAATTCAAAATATACTGTGCGGTCATCACGCTTAAACAAAAAAAAGCTTCCCCGGCGCAATACTGACACGGTGAAGCCGATACAACCGAAGAATAATATACTAAAATAACGGAAGATACACCGTTTTACACCTGACAGTATTTATGTGTAGCGTAAGAACAATATGGGTATTAGTGAATTCTATTTTCCTTTTATTTTATTACTGCCTTTTTTTCTTTTTTCTTTTTTTTTTTCTCCGCCAGATACGAGTGGCTTGTTATAGTTTCTTTATAACTGCTTAATTTTCTATTTTATATACCGTAGTTCAGGGTAATTCTTTACTATAACTGGTTCTGTGAAAGAAATCGAACATATAGGATTATCACATATATTTGATATAGTTTATTTGACATATATGCTATATTTATTAATATATTTGATATAGTTTAATTAATGAATTTGTTATATAAAAATAGAGCGCATTTAGCGTACACAAGTCTGGTTGGATTTGGTTTTGTTTTATTTTCGTAGGTCGCATTTACCTTCTGCTATATACACTTATTTTTTAATTTTTTATCACTGTTAACAATATTTCGGAAAATCTTTAAATTATGGCCATTGGTGTTTCTATTCTCGGTTAATTTAAACAATTTTTTTTTTTTTTTTTTAAAAAAAAAAGGACCGCAGTAAAAACATCTTTTGTCTAAACACAGCAAACCATTTATGCAAAAAAAAAAAATTTAATGAGCTAATTTTTTTTACCGATAAACAGTATATTATTACATTTTGCATACATTAGAGAATTTGGAGATGTCTCGGTCTCACTGAAAACACAATTTTTTTTTCGAGATTTTAATGTTCTAAAATAAGTACATACATTAATAATAATTAATTATTTTACGGGTTTTCAATCTAAAGCAATGTCAACCATCAATCATCAAACAATAATCAACCAACCCATTAATGCACGCTAGTAGTACAGGTAATTTGATGTTTTACGCATTGTTTTCATAGAATAAAAACCCTTTGGCGTAAAATCATCATTGCGAAACAATTAAACCTGCATAATTTAAATGATTTAGTGAATGATTTGATCTGCAAAGAATTTTCTTAAAATAGATATTTTAAAAATTATTTTGGTAATTATCATAAAGTGAAAAAAAAATCAGGTTTTTAAACAGGTCAATTCTATCAAACTTTGTACAAATGTATTAAACAATATAATTTATAAAATGGGTCTGATCGCAATCATATTCTAATTTAGTAACTTCAAAGATTATTATGACAAGATAATTGAGACTAGTACCTTAGGTTACCCTGCTTTTTTTTTTAAAAAGTAAACAAATCTGTAAGCAAAAGAAAAAGCCGCCGAAGGAAGAAGTTCTTTAACGAAAAAAAATCTCGACAAAAATTCCAATCTTTTTTTAACTCGCTAAAGTCTCTTTTTCCGTTATTAAATAAACAAATAAATTATTAGTATAAATCATTAGAAATTTAGTTCACGTGAAAAAAACCTATACCCAGTTTTAATACTATCTAAATCTCTTTTAATCACGATCACTGATAATGAAATTTTTTTTAAAGTAAACTTATAGGAATTATCTGGCGTAAGAATTCAAGATACGTTTCTCCACACGTTTCACAGTTTTGACGTACATCTCTTTCAAAGAAATGAAGCATAATTTACCATAATTACCTAATGAAACCATCCTTTCAATTTTTTATTCTTTCATATTTTCATTCATTTGTTTCTAAAATTTAATATTTTCATTATCTATGCCGCATTTACTATATTTATTACATTTATTATGTTTTATTACTCGGTTTTTTATGTAATCCTGGTCACACACACATTTCGTCATGGAGCGTTTTATTACTAATATTAACCTTAATATTGTTGTTTGACTCTTCTTTAATCTAATATAAAAAGTACAATATAGTGAGTGTACTTTGGATATACTTTGAGATAGATAGTATCGGAATCTACAGTACAATATTTTTTGAGTCGGTAAGTTATTACGGAAAAAAACGATGATACAATGATAAAAATGATATACTAATATCCCTTCTTCGATCCCTTTTACATGTTTATCCGTTTTAAAATATAGTTCTATTAAAGTTTTTATAATAAATACTATTTTTTAATGTAAGCTATAACATGTGCTTAGTTGCTAAAAAATTTTTTTAAACTAGCACCACGTTGTTTACAAATAGACGCATGTTTTATTCGACATATTTAGGATTTTGAATTTCATATACGTCACGATCGTCACGTCCATCACATCCTTTAAAATTTTTCTTACGTACTGTATGACAAAAATTTTAGCCACTTTTTATCCAGAACAATATTTTTTTAACCTTAAAACACCTTTTAAATCATCACATCAAGTGTTAGTTTCACCAAAATACAGTTCAAAAGCTATATTAATTTCAAATCAATATCTATCAATACAATATTTTTTTTAAGGTTTCGTAATGCTGTAATGATGTGATAAACGTCGATTTCCTATACTGCGGTTTTTTGTGTCTTTTTTTTTGTTAAAAAAATATTTATGATATCAAATCATATTATTATCATATTTTGTTTATTATTATTATTATTATTTTGCAGTTTAATATCGTGTTAAAAATATGACGATGATTTATAAACGTAAAAAAAGATAAATTTAATATTTTTTTTCTCACATTAACTCTTTCATCGTTTTAATTCATTCGTTTCAGACTAAATTTTTAAATGCAATATAAATATGAGATGAAAAACAAAGAAAAAAGTTTCTAGGGACAATTAATATAAACCATTTCCCTTCATATCAGATTACTCCAAAGTCCGATTCATTCAAGTTCTGCGCACTAAAAATAAAAGAAAGAAAACACTGATAAGACGAACAAAATTTATTAATTATTTTTTTTTTTACGCCCAAAAATAGCAAACACGTACGCACGTTATCTACAAAAGTAGCCGGAAATACGAATGGAGAATAAATTAATTAAACGTTCATAGTCCGGACATGTAGGATTTTTAAATTAAAAAGATATTTAATTTGACGAATAAGATATAATAAATTTTGCTTTTGCGTGGGAATTGATTTCTTCAAATGTTTTATATTACATGCATTTGCAGTATATTGCACGTTCCTTACCATAAACTTATAGGTTTTTCCTTATTTAGTGTAGTTATTATGATGATAACAAGATTTCTAACAAGTTTATCTGTAAGAGCATAAGACGCAAAAGTATCGATTTGGACCTATCAAGTGTGACTCTTCGTATTATGCGAGTCAAATTAAGCACGTACGCATAAGACAGATGGATTTTCGTTAGTGTTACATCTTTTAAACCTTTTAAAACGATAATTGGGAATTTTTTATTAAAATTTCGCATAAACTCACATTACAATGAGTTTCAAAGTTTCAAACTCAAAAAATATACACATACTTCTAATAATTAATATCCTTTTATTAAATTTGGTATGTGAAACTTTCTAAAAAAATATTCTTTGTTAAAATAATTATTTCTTTATATAAAAAAAATTGCATAGACCATCTCACAAATTATTTGTCCTATTTCTTTTCAAAGTAATAAAAAATTTTGACACTATTATATATATATATATATATATTCCTTGACACTTTAGCATATACTGTATATTGCGCAATTTTTTTTTTTGGCACAGTGATTGAATATCAGCATCTAGTATACTGTATATATAGTATATTTCTTTTTTGAAAACAACGTAATAAGTAAAAGAAAAAAGTAGAGGTTTTTATTTAAAACCATCATATTATGTAAAACCGATAACTTAAATAGTATACCTTGAACAAATCTTAAATATATTTTCTGTTTTTTTCTAAAAATATCTGATATTGTTATTTTCTTCCGAGAAAACTTTAAAAGATTATTATTTTTTTTTTTTGTTTATAAAAATATCAGGGATCAGCTGCATTAAAATCAAATAACGCTAAACCGAAAATGAATCATCGTTTACCGCCCACACAAATATTATGAATATATGTATACTGTAAAAAATGAAAACTTTCATCATTTCTTCCGCCTTTTGCGATTGATTAAAAAGAATGTTTCCATTTCGCTTATGTAAAATTATTTTGAAGAAAGTTTATCTGATAACCATTTTTTTTAAAAAGAAATTCCTAATAACGAGAGTGTGGCAATAAAATGAGACTATAAAGAACAATGAAAATAATATAAATTGTGAATCAAAAAATTAAGTTTTTTCAGGATGATAAAAAAAAGGCGGTTCCTTTGATTATGTTCTTTTTTAAATATCTAAAAATGGATGTTAACGTTGACAATCTTTTTTTGTTTATAGAAATATAACAATCAAGAAAAATAAAGTTAAAATTTTATCATTTTAGGGGAACGTTTCACCGGGTTTTCGCCAACCAGACAATCATTTCACCGACAATCGTAAAGTGATAACCCTAACTCTATAATTAACACATCCTAACCATAACTCTAGGTAATGATTTGTTTTATCACATTATTTTTCTATAGCCATTAGGCAACATAAGGTTTTATTATTTTAAGAAATTGAGGTGTTAAAAATTTATATTAAAAGTGTATTCATTATGTGAACAAATTGATTAAATCTTAAAAAAGTAATAAATAGTTCAGTTATAAGTATGGTTAAAGGATTTCTCTATGAACATGCTTGACTTAAACGATTGAAAGGATTTTTGTCAACTTTAGAAGTATTGAGCGACGATATACATAAATGATAACTTGATAATGTTGGTCTTTCTCAAAACCGTTTTAAATCCGATTTAAAATACAGTATTAGTAAAATCACATGACCATAAAAATTTATTCAGGCAGTTTAAATGTCAAACTCGATTAGTAAATTGAAACTCCTATACGAGTAAACCATCGGGATGTGAAGTATAACAATATATTTTTTTAGATTAATTATAATACAAAAAAATTTTTTTTATGTGATCGATTAATTATATATAGTAAGCACCATCAAAAGTTTTCAATCCTTCATTTTTGAATAAATTCAAAAAAAAATACTATTTTTTTTTTTTGCTTTTATTCAATAAATCAATAAAAGAATCTTTTGAATATCTCAAATAAAATAAAAAACGTTCTTCCCTTTCTCCTTCTCTTGTATTTATTTCATAACAACCATCCTTCTAAAAAAAATTCGTTTTTCTTACATATATTTCTTTTTTTTTTCTTACTTACCTTCTCTTACTTTAAAAATCTTTTTCGTCTTGTACACATACACAAGAAAAAAAAAAATGACTTCAACCTCCGTACGGTAAGTAACCATAAATCAAAAAATCAAGTAATTCCTTTACCTTTTTATTCTTTATTCCTTCTTATTTATTTCTTCTACCTTTTTCATCCTTGGCGTTTTTCATTCCATCCTCTCAATAGAGTTGCTCTGAGAGTAAGACCTCTCAATAACAAAGAAACACTACAAAATTGTAGTGAATGCTTAACAACAATACCTGACGCACCACAAATACTCATTGGAACCGATAGATCCTTTACATTCGATTATGTATTTCCATCGAATACTGAACAAGAAGAAGTATTTCAAGAATGCGCAAGTCCGCTAATAGATAAACTGGTGGAAGGGTGAGTACAGGAAAAAAACCCATCGGTGTTAATATTCCGAGGTAGTTGATATCACTTTTTTTTATCGACTATTGTTAAATTTTATTATTACATTACATTAATTACATTACACATTATGTTATATTATTTATTTTATTATCATTTATATTTTTAGTTATAATGCCACACTTTTAGCATACGGGTAAGTAAATATAATCATTCATTATTTTTAATTAGTCTGCATATTTATTATTTATAAAAATTTGACAAAAAAAATTTTTCTAGTCAAACTGGTAGTGGCAAAACATATAGTATGGGTACAGCTTTAGACGATTCAAATATTCCGCCCGAACATCAAGGTAAAATAAAATATGCATGGTTTATTGCATTATCTAAATGATCATCAAACTTAAATTATGACGTCATTTTCTTAAGGAATTATTCCACGTGCCATAAGAAAATTATTTGCTGACCTTCACGAACGAAAAGAAAAAAATCCTTCTTATCAATTTGAGGTTTATATATCATTCTTAGAATTATATAATGAAGATCTTATAGACTTATTAAACCCACAAAGTAGAGAAAATAATAAAAAAGGAAAGAATGATTTAATAATAAGAGAAGATACCAATGGTCAAATACATTGGGCTGGTGTAAAAGAAGTTAAAGTTTCAGACCCCGATGAACTCTTAGGGTATGTTTCTACTGTTGTTGATGTGCGAAATACGTAGAAAATTTTTCATACAACTCATACGACGTCAAATATACGTATATATATATTGTAAATATACAATTTTTATTTTATTATTAGACAATTACAAAAGGGTTCACTATGTAGAACTGTCGCTTCAACAGATATGAATATGGTATCTTCAAGATCACACGCTATATTTTCCGTAATACTGAAACAAACAAGAATAGAAAGTTTAGAAGAAAATAAAGAAAATGTTGTTCCACCAGCAGAATCTTCGGCTGCTTCAAAAGGAAAAAATAAACAAAAATTATTGTCATCAAAAGTAACTTCAAAATTTCATTTTGTAGATTTGGCTGGTTCGGAAAGGGTAATTTTTCATCTTTTATAATTTATGTAATCGAAATTAATAATCTGTTTTATCTTTATTTATAAAATCTTTTTACTTGAATAGTTAAAGAGAACTAACGACATAGGTGATAGAGCAAAAGAAAGAATTGCAATTAATGGGGGTTTACTGGCCCTTGGTAATGTAATTAGCGTGCTTGGTGATGAATCAAGAAACGTCGCACATATCCCTTACAGAGATTCAAAATTAACGCGTTTATTACAAGATTCACTTGGTGGTAATAGTCAAACTCTCATGTTGGCTTGCGTCTCACCAGCTGATTCTAATTTTATGGAAACCTTAAATACACTAAAATACGCTAATCGTGCTCGTAATATTAAGAACAAAGTTAGTATTAATGAAAGTTATGGTGGTAACTCTGTTGAAATAAATCAACTACGTGGTCAAATAAGCAGATTAAAGATGGAAATTCAAACTTTACGAGCTGGTGGTTGTAATGAAGAAACAAGTCGTAAATATGAAGAAGAAATTAAGAGTCTAAAAAGAGAATTAGAAATGACAAAAATGAAACTTCAAAGTGTTGAACAAGAGCTTATCTCTGCAAATGCTGAAAAGAACACTCTTTTAATGGAAATTAGTTTTAATGATCAAGATCTTTCAGATGCTGATCGTGAACATAGGATTAAGACTCATCGTATCGTTCAAGGTTATGAATCAGAAATTAAAAATCTCAGAGATCAAATTTCCGAACTTTTAACTGCTCAAGCTACTCATCATCATCCACATAAATCTTCCTTTGCTGGAACAACACCGGGAAGAGAGAAAGGTCGTATCAAATTATCTGATCCTCATATCTTTTCATCTGATGAAGATATTTATCATCAAAATAATGATAGTGATAGTAATAAAGAGAGTGATGAGAAGAAAGGTGATGAGACTTCTACTAAAATCTCACCTGTTGGTCCTTCATCATCTCATCATCAACTTGAACATGTTATAAATGAACAAAATTTGGAAGCTAAAACCTTATTCTCACAATATAAAGAAGATGAAGAAAACATTGAGGATGATGATGAAAATTTGGATGGTGAATCGTTCAAATTTACTCGAAAATTAAGAAGACGTAGTAAGACCAGAGATAAGCTCGAAAAGGCCAAGGAACAACTCAGACAAAGTTACATGATAATAAAGAATGGAGGTTCTTTACATGATGATCCTATTTTAAGTCAATTAATAAAACAACCTTCATCAACCAAGAGTGAAAGTTATATTGATCAAATGATGTCCAATAATTCAAAGGAAAAAAGAAGATCAAGCAGTGTATCCTTCAGTGAAATTCAAACAATTGAAGTACCCGAATGGCAAGAATCTAATGCACCACAACCTACTCGTCGTACTTCAAATTCAAGTCGTTCTGTTTGTTTCTTCGATCGACCAATTTCTCCTTGTTTAAGTAAATCTTCTCAAAATAGCACTGGTTGCTCCTCCCAACAAGAACAAAACGTTATTGCTCTCACCCGTATGTTACATCAAATTCAAGCTGATATCGCTGTTAAAGAACAACTTGTTTCACAATTGGAACAAACTGATCAAGAATATACTTATATGAGAGCTCAATATGAACAAAGATTGGCTGATATGCAAGAAGCTTTAATTACCTTACAACAAGAAAGAAACGCCGCTGTTAAACGCGCTCAAAATGCTAGTACTGGCGTTAGTACTCGTGATAAGAATTCAATTCCTACCGAACTTAAAGCCCGTTATGAACACGAGATGAAACGTTTAATTCAAGAAATTGGTGAACTTCGTCGAAAATATAATGAAGCTACTCAATCAAATGCCACATCAAGGAATCAAAATGAAACAATTCTCAAGAGTATGCGTGCTCAAATTGAACAACTAAGAGGAATGATGAAGCGCATGAAGGATGAAGCCGAGCGTGTTCGTGAAACGACTGAACGTAATCAACGTGAAATTCAAAATCTCCGTCGTAAAGAAAAAGCTGCTCAAGAACGAATGAAACGTCTTGAAAAAACTAGCGAAATGCAAAAAATCATGCTTGAAAAGAGACAAAAGGAAATTTTACAAAAAAATGGAAAACTTAAATCAGTTACGGCGTTACTCAAACGAACTACTACCCATAATCACGAAAGAAATCAATCAACATCTAGTAATGGGAAGGAATCGAGAAGATCCTCCGATGATTTAAGTCCTATCCGCTATGAAATATTTGCCAGTGATTATGATAAGAGAAACTTTCTTGATGAAGCAATCTATAAATATATTAGTGGTCGTCAAATAGATGAATTGATCGTTAAAAGAAACAATTTACAAGAGGAGAAGAATGAATTACTTGAAGAACATAAAAAAATAATTACTAATGAAATTGAAAATGAGTTGGGAGGAGATACTCAAGCATTAGATGATAAGATTGAGATGATCACCTCAGAAATTGCTTACATCAATGCCAAGATTCGTTCTTTACAATCAAGTATTGCTGCGGAACAAGAAGAGAGTTGTATCAAGACTGGTAAAGCTGAAAAGAAATTTTCCTTTATCTTGCCAGAGAATGCCACACCAGACGTCTTATATGACGTTGTTGTTCGCATTCTACAAAATTTGGATCAATTCGAATCTTATACAATATTGGAATCCTTCTTTAAGGATATTGTTGAACTTCGAATTGGAGATTGGTCTCGTCAAATGACTCTAGAACAACAAGAAAAGACAATTACGGATTTAAGAAAAACATTGTTGGCCATGCGAAGAGCTGCAGTTCTTACAACAAGTGGATACGAAAAGAAAAACAGAGAACTCGAAGAAGCTTTACGTCTTGGTGGAAGATCATTAAGTCCAGAAAAGAGAGAATTACAGATGGACGATATTGAAAATAGTACTTCCAAAGCTATTTTCTTACTTAAACATAGATTAGATCAAGCTTATGTGGGAGTTGAAGCAGCAGTTTCGGCAGGAACTTTTGGAACTCCTAGTCAAATAGGATCATCATCAAGACACAATTCATACTTCGTTAACGATGATGCGGCTTACTTCTTTTCCTCACTATTATCTGCAAGTCCAATGAATACTGGTAATAATAATAGAGCAAGTTTCTCCAGATCACCAATGCCTTTGAGTTGGTTAAATCTTCAACCACGTGTAAAGGTATCCGAACAAGTTAATGAAATACAATCATCAACGCCAGAAGTTCCAACAAATTCAAAGAGAAAAGACTCTGGTTATAATGACTTTAGCATTAGAAGCATTATCAACAATAATGTAAGACCCTCTAATAGTCAATCAAAAGATGAGAATATTTCTCCTTCAATAGAGCTTGGAAATTTACATTTAGAACGCACAAGGTCCATTGGTCAACCTTTAGAACGTTCCAGATCCAGTGATCAACATTTAGAACGAAGTAAATCTAGTGTTCAATTTTCAAGTTCGCTTCACGATGGGTCAACAATTCTTGCACATAGTCGACAAAGTAGTTTAACAAGCGCGGGTTTCTACTTAGAATCAGGTGGTGATTGTCCACGTGTTAACGGATATTTAAGCAGTGGTGATAGGCGAAGATCACAAAGCAGTATAGCACTACGAGGTTCCAAAGACATAATAGCAGCATACCATATGCGACAAAGTCCATATGGACATAGTTCACCCGATAGTAGTGATGCAGTAAGCGTAACAAGTACTACCAGTGAACGTGAAAAACGTGCATTAATGTCGCTCCATACACATACAAGATCAGAAACACCGACAGGAGATAATATTTTTGATCGTTTATCAAAGAGTCAAACACAATCAAGCTCAGAGACATGGTAGTGTCGCCAATGTCGCCAGTGTCACCAGTGTAAGGCGAGAAGGTCACCTGAAATTTAATATCTTTATAGACTAATTCTTATTGGTTAATAAATCTCTTGAGACATTGAAAATTTAGAAACTTTTTCCTTTCTTTGTTCATACTGTAAAAAAATTGTTATTGTAGATATATGTGTACTTATTATTTATTTTATTATTATTATTTTTTTTTTTTTTATCCCTTTTCTCCTTTTTTTCCTTACTTCTTTCTTATTACTCTTCAACTACCGAAAAAAAATATTTAGAAAATAGATGAGGTATTTTTTCAGGGAAAAAATCCATGTAATATAGGTTTTTTTGAGGTTATAAGGACTAATTTGTTTTTTCAAAAAAATTTTCAATGATTTGATTTTTTTTCAGACCAATTTTTTTTTCCTTTTTGACCAATTACTAGTTCTTTTTTTTTTTTTTTTTTTTTTT